TTCTTCCAGGACTTTATTGTTTTCTTCTAATTTGTTTGCCCTTTCCTCTAGTTGTTTACAGCATTCTTCCCATTTTTTTGTCTTTTCCTCTACACAAGCCTCTACCTTCTTCATGATGTCATTCATAAGGCTGTTTTCTTCTGCTTCTTCCAATTTTTGATGTTCAGGTCTAGATGTTGGAGGAGGGCTAGGTTCTGGTGATGCTGTATTGCTCTTTATTTTGTTGTATGTACTTCTGCCTTGACATCTGCCCATCTCCTTGTGGTTCGTTCTTGGTCTTATCAGCATACTTGGTTCACACAGAGCTGACAGATTCAGGAAGTCTCTCTCTCTTGTCCAGATGGGAGCTCTCTTGTCCAAATGGGAACTCCGGGGCAGGATGGGAGCTCTTGTCCAGATGGGAAGTCCGGAGCAGTATGGGAGCTCTTGTCCAGACAGGAAGTCTGGGGCAGGATGGGTGCTCTTGTCCAGAAGGGAAGTCCGGGGCAGGATGGGCACTCTTGTCCAGAAGGGAATTCCGGGGCAGGATGCGAGCTCTTCTCTCTCTCTCTCTCTCTCTCTCTCTCTCTCTCTCTCTCTCTCTCTCTCTCTCTTTCTCTCTCTCTCTCTCTGGTCTCTCTGGTCTAGAAGGGAAGTTCGGGGCAAGATGGGAGCTCTCTGTCCAGAAGGGAAATCTGGGGCAGGATGGGAGCTGGGAGACGGCCTCTAAGTCTCAGGAAGTGGCTGGTGTCTCGGGCAGATGGGTGTGGGGGCAGGGCGTGGAGATTGCAGGGTCTGTGGGGGGTCTTGGAGAAGGGGATCCTTCCCAGATGGGGCTAAAAGGGAACCTGCCCAGTGGCCAGAACCTGGGGCCAAGTTGGGCAGGTCTTCCCCGGAGTGGCTGGTGCCCAGGGATTGGGTCCAGACTGAGTCAGGGCACTCACCTCTGTCCAGAAGGAAAGTCCCCCCAAAATATCTTTTTTAAATACATGATATATCCCACTTTCAGTTTCCCCATTCTCTTCTCCTGCCCAGATCAAACCCCATTATATCTCTCATTAGAAAACAGTCAGGCAGGCGAGAATTCTACCACTGAACCATAAGCACATATAGACGTAGAGACCCACTTGTTCACACTCTCAGGAACCTTATGAAACCACTTATCTAGAAGCCATAATACATACAAAAAATACAAAATATAAAATAAAAGAGAAAAAATGAAATGCCCTGACAGGACATTATGATACAAGGAAGCTCCAAAGACATGATTGTTTTCTCTTGGGAATCTACTGCTAGCTTTGTAGCCTATATTTAAAAGAAGATTTTGTTGCATTAGTGAGACTCTCTTAGAGAAAACTAGACTTTTATTTGCAATTGCCTAGAAATTAGAAATAGATACTGGGTTAGGAATGGAAGAATGTGAACACTCTAGTTTTAGCTCTGGGATCCCAATTGTTAAGGGCCAGTGCAGGCCTTGTGTATGTTGTCACAGTCTCTGTGAGTTCATGTGTGCATCTATCTTGTTGATGTAGAGGGTCTTGTTCTCTTGGTGTCCTCTATCCCTTCTGCCTCCAACACTCTTTGTGTCTAATCTGCCACAGTGTTCCCTGAGCCCTGAGGGGAAGGATTAGATAGAAGCACACAGTTTAGGGCAGAGAATTCCAAGGTCTATTATTCTCAGCATAATGTCTGGCTGTGGGTCTCTATATTGGCTTTCTTGTGCTGCTTGTGGAAGTTTCTTTGACAATAGTCGAGAAAGGCCCTGATATATTCCAAAATGCCATTATAAGTCATTTTATTGCTATGTTATTTACTAGAATTGTAGTATTTGGTTTTCCCTAGGTCCTTGAGCTATCTAGCTTTAGATGATTTGAAACAAGAAATTAGTGTCAGTTATGTTTTCCATTTCATGGATTGGACTAAAAGTCAAATCTGATGTTTGTTGATTATTCCCCCAAGATCTATGCCACTATTGTATTTGCTTATATTGCAGGCTGTACACCAGGGTGTAAACATGTTTGTGTGTGAGAGTATGTCTATATTTCCATGTATTCTACATACTTTACTTTGTTTTGATAATCTTTGTTCATTTTGTTCTGGTTGTGTTTTCTCTCATTTGTTTTCTAAATAAAGAGAATATATTTTTAAAAATCAACAATGTGAATATATTCTCAAAGATGAAATCTGGCTGGTTTTTAATTTAATTAGAATTGTAGATATAATTAACCCTAACTTATTCTTGAAATTTTATTGTCTGTGAACTATAAAAAGACTGATTACAATGAATGACAACATACAAGGCAAACAGCACGTAAGGTCTTAAACATTTATGCAAACGTATATTATACAAGAAATAAAATGTGTCAGAATTATACATGTTACATGAAATGTTGATAAAATATGGGGAAATGAGTATTCACAAATATGCAGGAGTTACATAGTACATAGTTTCAGTTGAAATAATATAGAGCAATTTATCAAAAGTGAATAATTATAAAAGACTGAGTACACAAAACATTTGGACATCTACAATCAATGATAGCCATGAGCACACATTCTATAGAAGTAGTTACAGCAGGGATTTTCACATTCCTCACAGATTTAAAAGTACCATCATGAAACTGACTGGGGAAGTATCTGATTAACTGTTATCTTAGTTGAGTTATAATTAAGTAATAGACTGGTCTTTATTCTATTCTAGTATGCATCTCATTATTCAGTTATTTGGCAGAGTAATATTTTCATGTCTAAATCATATTCATTTTTTAAAATGTGCCTTCCTTCACAGAAAAAACATTCATGAAATGAAAACACAAATCTTGGAAACATACCAAAGGCATCAAAGAGACATGGATTCATATAAAAACATTTGGTGCTATAAAGGAAAAGTTATGCAATGCTGAATAGGTGAAAAATGCATACATGTCCCATTCATCTTTTCTTTAATATTAATTGAGAGAGACAATGAATTTTATGGATATAGGCTTTCTTTTTTTAAATTTAATTTTATTTTACAATACAATTCAGTTCAGCATATCAGCCAGGGATTCCCTTGTTCTCCCCCCTCCTGCCCCCCTCACTTTCCCCCCAGCAAATCCCCTGTTCCCACCTCCTCCAGGGCAAAGCCTCCCCCGAGGACTGAGATCAACCTGGTAAACTCAGTCAGGGCAGGTCCAGTCCCCTCCTCCCAGGCTGAGCCAAGGGACCCTGCACAAACCCCAGGTTTCAAACAGCCAACTCATGCAATGAGCACAGGACCCAGCCCCACTGCCTGGATGCCTCCCAAACAGATCAAGCCAATCGACTATCTCACCCATTCAGAGGGCCTGATCCAGTTGGGGACCCCTCAGCCATTGGTTCATAGTTCATGTGTTTCCATTTGTTTGGCTATTTGTCCCTGTGCTTTATCCAACCTTGGTCTCAACAATTCTTGCTCATATAAACCCTCCTCTTTCTCACTAATTGGACTCCGGGGTCTCCACCCAGGGCCTAGCCAGTTCCCTCAGTCATTGGATGGGGTTTCTAGCATGACAATTCGGGTGTTTGGCCATCCCATCACCAGAGTAGGTCAGTTCGGGCTGTATCTCGACCATTGCCAGCAGTCTGTTGTGGGGGTATTTTTGTGGATTTCTGTGGGCCTCTCTAGCACTTTGCTACTTCCTATTCACATGTGGTCTTCATTTACCATGGTCTCCTATTCCTTGTTCTCCCTCTCTGTTGTTGATCCAGCTGGGATCTCCCACTCCCCCAAGCTCTCTTTCCCTCGACCCTCGCCTTTCACTACCCCCACTCATGTCCAGGCTGTTCATGTAGATCTCATCCATTTCTCTGTCATTGGGCAATCCCCGTGTCTTTCTTGGGGTCCTGTTTTCCAGGTAGCCTCCCTGTTGTTGTGAGTAGCAGTCCAGTCTTCCTTTTTCCACATCTAGTATCCTCCTATGAGTGAGTATGTAGCTAGAGTTTTCCTGTCTGGCCCACAGTCAGGACAAACTCTCTCACCTGCCAGTCCCTCACCTGCCAGTCCCACAGCCGCTCAGACCCGACCAAGTAAACACAGAGACTTACATTGGTTACAAACTGTATGGCTGTGGCAGGCTTCTTGCTAACTGTTCTTACAGCTTAAATTAACCCATTTCCATTAATCTATACCTTGCCACATGGCTCGTGGCTTACCGGCAACTTCACATGCTGTTTCTCATCATGGCGGCTGGCAGTGTCTCTCTGACTCAGCCTTCCACTTCCCAGCTTTATTCTCCCCCTTGTTCCGCCTACACTTCCTGCCTAGCCAATGGCCAATCAGTGTTTTATTTATTGACTAATCAGCAACACATTTGCTATACAGAACATCCCACAGCAGTGAGTACATACCATGTTTGTCTTTCTGAGTCTGGGTTACCTCACTCAGGATGATTTTTTTCTAGATCCATGCATTTGCATGCAAACCTCATGATGTCATTGTTTTTCTCTGCTAAGTAGTACTCCATTGTGTATATGTACCACATTTTATTTATCCATTCTTCAGTTAAAGGGCATCTACAGCAAGCCAACAGCCAACATCAAATTAAATGGAGAGAAACTCAAAGCAATTCCACTAAAATCAGGAAAGAGGTAAGGCTGTCCACTCTCCCCATACTTATTCAATATAGTAATTGAAGTTCTAGCCAGAGCAATAAGACAACATAAGGAGATTAAGGGCATACAAATTGGAAAGGAAGAAGGATATAGGTTTTCTTTTTTTCTTTTTTTTTTTTTTTGGTTTTTTCAAGACAGGGTTTCTCTGTGTAGCTTTGCACCTTTCTTGGAACTCACTTTGGAGACCAGGCTGGCCTCAAACTCACAGAGATCCGCCTGCCTCTGCCTCCCAAGTGCTGGGATTAAAGGCGTGTGCCACCACTGCCCAGCTGGATATAGGTTTTCTAATTTAGAGAAATACATAAAAATATTAGAAGAGTAGAGAATAAAGATGGATAAATGAAAGCAATAAATATAAAAATTTAAATTACTCTATGATCTCTGACAATTAGATTCATGCTAAACAGACTTGAAGACTTGTATATAATTAAGAAAAACATGGACTAAGCTGTAAGATCCACTTTTCCTCTAGAATGTGCTTTGTTCCTGACATGATGAAGCACATTCCTATGTGGTCTAAACAAAATAATATAGCACTTGGGAAGAAAGATGCATCCTAGGAGACCTGCACTGGAAGCCAAAATGGAGAAGACTTCCATGGCAACCATGAGTTTCCCCTTGGTGCTGTGGTAGACAGGCAGGAAGGTGACCCACACACTGAAGAACACCAACATGCTGAAAGTGATGAACTTGGCTTCATTGAATGTGTCAGGCAGGTTCCTGGACAGGTAAGCCATAGTGTAGCTCCCAAGTGCCATGGAGCAGAGGTATGCCAGGACAGAATGGAAGGCAATAGTGGAGCCCTTGTTGCATATAATAATTATGTGGCCATGTTCAGTGTAAGCATCTGAGTCAATAAATGGAGGAGAGGTGCTCAGCCAAATTCCACAGATCACAAGTTGGATAAGGGTGCAGACAGGAATAATGAGGTTAGGAACTCTTGATATCATTATCCACCTTATCAGTCTTCCTGGCAATGTGATCTTGAAAGCCAGAACCACAGTAATAGTTTTGGCCAAGACTGTGGAGTGAGCCACTGTGAACAGAACTGCAAATGTGCTCTGCTGCAGGATACAGGTGACTGTGTTGGGATGGCCAATGAAGAGCAATGGACAGAGAAAACAGAAGATCAGAGTGATGAGAAGGATATAAGAGAGAGCCCGATTGTTGGCCTTGACAATGGGGGTGTGGTGGTACTTCACAAAGACCCCCAAAACAACAGCTGTTAGTGAAGAGAAGCCCAAAGCCAAGTAGGTGAATGCCATCCCCAAAGGGTCTTTGTAGCATAGAAATGTCACTGCTTTCTGGAGACAGTGGTTCTGCTCTGTGTTTGCATAATGACTTTCTGGACACCTCACACAATGATCCATATCTACTCAGGAATTAAAGTTATTGTGAGTCTCCGCTCAGGTTCTCATTTTATCTCAAGCCACTTCCCAGCACCAGCTCTCTGGCATTTGCCCACATTTCCTTTGTTGTTTCAGACTCAAGTAAATCTGTTCTCAATAGTAAGAATTAACAAATGCTCTGTAATGAATCATTTCAGATCAATACTCCCCATATTCTTTGTTGGACATGAAGTGAACAAGTCTATCCTTCTCATTGCTATACTTAAATGTTTTATCAGTTAAGTGATAATTAATATTTTTTTAATTTATATTGTCATCAATTATTGAATTAAATTACATAAACCTGACTTGATCATAGAACCCCCTCCCTCTGAATTCCTTTGTGTGACTTTGTCATGTTAGTTAAGTACATCTTTACATGCCTTGAAATTACTCATACTCAATATCAAAATTAAAATATTTCCATAGAGTTTATTGGATTCTCCAGTGTGTTTATTCTCTGATAGTGCTTGTGAGAATGAGAATTATTAGGTTCATGAATGATGGAAAAACTCCCTTTATGAAACTGTTTAATCATTCCCAGGGAGAAAAGAACTATTTAACAGATAGATATAAAACACTTGTTTTAGTCTTAGTTGGTAATAGAATAATTTTTTGATAGTTCATCTTTTCTAATTTGTGAGTTTCATCTTGAATTCAAAAGATATAAGTGTCAACATACTTACTATATATTTTCATTAAAATAATTCTATTTCATACTTTAATTAAAAGCATTCAATATTTTTTCAAAGTGGAATTTGCAACTTAATTGTTGTTGAAAATTCTAATTAAAACCTATTGAATTCATCTTTTTGCTAGTGTCTATAGAATCTTTTGTTCCATTATGAGCATTTTATTTGTTTCTTCTAGATGTGCCCTCCTGCTATGCTCACACTCTCAAGGCACTATGTCTCTACTGTATTCCATGTGTTTACTTCTATTGGTTTCTAAACAGAGCTAGAATGCTTCATATGCACAACCCAATATATTCTTTAGTGAAAGCACAGGGTACACAAGTCATGACAAATATTTTATAAAGATATAGGTATGATTTTCTTCAACACAGATACACCTCATTTATAGGATTTGAGGCAGAGGATTCACTGTTTTGAAATATTTAGCATTCATCAGTTACTCTTAAGGGGGAACTGATTTCAGTTGTAAGTACCTACATGGTGGTCAACGCTATCCATGCCTCCACCACCAGGAGATCTGAATCCCTCTTCCAACTTTGGTGTGCACTAAGCAAGTACATGTACACATACAAGCATGCAGGCAAAACACTCAGAGATAAAACAAAATGAATGAATGTCTAAAATAAAACATTTAAAAATATGTCCACAGTTAAATCAAATTTGACCTTTCTGATAACCTCTGATAAACATAGAACCATGATTGAAATTATGCATGTAAGAGTCATGAGGATCAAACTATTAAATGTGTATTAACTATAAACTAAATATGCTTTGAAATACATGAAAAGTCAGGAATTTATAGTGTGTGTGTGTGTGTGTGTGTGTGTGTGTGTGTTTTAAATGCCACAGTGAATCAGGCAGACTATTCTGTGTAAAGTTGTTCTCTGAAAGTAACAATGGCTACAGTGCATCAAATAAATAAATCAGGTATTAATTTCCATGGGGTGAGCACCAGTTAAACTGATGGTAAAAATGAACCAAAATATTTTTACTTCTAACTTAAAGAATCACTGCGCTTATCTCTGCTGTTCCTTCACAGAACTTGTCCCTCTGCTTAGACATTTCAGAACACTGTGGAGAGGTGGTGGGGAATACCCCAGTTAGACTGGCACTTACCTGTCTCATTGGAAATCTCATTGTCTGGACAATGAGTGCAATCATAGCAGCAGGCAGGCTTGCCTTCCTGGGGTGATTTTCTGAATCCAGAAACACAGCTCTTGCTGCACACAGAACGAGGAAGCTGGGAATTAAATATAGAAGTGTATAGTTTTAAAACAATAAAGTGGTTTTTTTTGAATATTGAACAATGAGTTGGCAAGTTTTATAATTATTTTAGCAGATTCTTGTTTTGATGCACCACTTCTTTCTAATTTCAAAATAGCATACCCATGAAGATCAATGTGCTTAAACAATGATCCGAAGACAATAGAAATCTGAACAATTGTGAAAATATAAAAGCTAGGGCAAAATAAGAAGTTTGGTCACTGAGTTCTTGTCTAAATGGGCAATTGTAATGGCATGCAGATACTGTTGTGTACTTCCTGACAGCTGGAGTGAGCAGCTTTGTTTTGCACTGGTGAGGCTTAATTTACATTTGTCAATCTGACAAGTTTTAGAATTACCATATAAACTAGTCTTTGTGAATCTGTGTGAGCAATGATCTACATTAGGGTACTTGAAGTGAGAATACCTATTCCATAATTAGGTATCACTGTTTCATTGGCTGTTGTTAAAGATTGAAATAAAAACAAAAAGTGATGTGAAGAGCAGTGTTCACATCAATCTACTTCCTGACTGAAGATACAATATGACTCACTTTCTCAGATCCTTGCCAACATGATTGCCTGAATCATTATGAACTGCTCATGCCAAATGTGACCCAATAAAGTCTATATTCTTAAGCTATATCAGCTTGTTTTTTTTTTTGTTGTTGTTGTTGTTTGACAAATTGCTGACTTTTTTATCAGATAGACATGTAATTGACCCATGCACATGTGCCCTCCATATTATTGTGCATTGCCATGGGCCTGAAATCAATTGACAATGAACTGATATTTTCTAACCTGGAAGACAAATTACTACACTTGTCAAGTGGTTTCAGGACAAGGATGAAATCTTAATAAATAGACACTGTATTTATTACTGGAAATACGTGCACACAGAAAAAAAGCATAGAAAAATAAACAATCCCATTACTCAGAATAATGCAATAAAAACTTCCTCATATGACAGTAGTTTTGTGCATACAGATGAGCATTCTATAAGGAACCAACTATCACTACATCCACAAACAAATGTTTATTGACATAGAGATCAAAGCACTGAGATAAGTTCCAGCCCACCTCTGTAAATCCTATAGCCCACTTTATCATATGGTCAGACAAAAGCAGTTCTTGGCCCTGTGGAGCTTTTGGAGAAAATGTTCCAACTTTCATCTTTTGTCTGAGACCATCTGGAAAATTCCAGAGGTTGAAAATGTCATATTCTGCTTCTAATTTCCTTTGTGAATCCAAAACCATAAATTTTCCAGCACCATATTTGGAATGGATATTCTTGAGATAAGGGTGAAGCTAAAAGAGATACAGAATTTGATGATGAATTTATTCCCAGGAAGATCAACAGAACCCAATGCAGCAATGGGTCTCATTGTCCTAAATCCCTGATATGAATTGTAAGTTATACCAAGCTATAGACACTTCAATGGATGAATATTAAAAATGAAGATATCATAATGTTTCTTGTTAGTTAATTTCAAAAGGAAGAATTTGCACGCAGAAACACACAGTAATTAGCAAGCAAACAAAATGATTTAATCGACTGTGGTGATGTACTGTATCTTCCACTATATTGTGTACCCTAATAAAGTTTATCTGGGGATCAGATGAAAAAGCCAGCTACTATACTAAACATAGAGTTCAGGCAATGGTGCACATGCCTTTAATCCTGTCACTAGTGAAGCAGATTTCCGTCTGGATCTCTGTGATTTCAAAGCCACCTTGGTGTGGTGATACATGCCTTTAAACCCAGGACTGGGTTTAAACCATAGAGGTCTGGAGGTCTGTACAGAGAGACAGGAAATGATGTAGCTAGGCAGAGAGAGGAAGTGAGATGAAGAACAGAAATGCATATAGGTGTGGGTATAAAGGAAGTAGGTCTCTTTGGCTGAGGATCACCAACTGGTAAGAACATTGCTGACTTCTTCCTGCTTTTCTGATCTCTTGGTATTAACCCCAATATCTGACTCTGAGTTTTTTATTAATAAGATCTTTAGCAATTTGTCCTAGTATCAATGAATGTTGATTTAAGCAAATTTCCACAACAGTAATCTACTCAAAGTTTCAGTTTGTAAATTGGGGTGTTAATGTCCAAAATGAAATAAAATGGTCAGTTAGGAATCTTAATCATAGCTTCATAATTTGAATTTTAAGGATCGAATAGAATTTGACCATTAAAGATATAGTTCTCCTATTTCTGTTCTGCAATATACTTAGAGATAATGGGGATTCAATTGGATATAGAATCATGAGAAGATTCTTAGGATAACTGTAACACAAAGCAGATAATGACATATACAGATTTAAACTTTATTGCCACTCATTCAGTCTGAACAATGACACATGTGTCTGCAAAGACTTCTAGACAACAAATTATATACAGTCTCTCAGGTGATATTGGTAGAACCTGCCACGGTGTGCAATCATGTATTGTGTGCTTTTAGGAAACCTCAGTATGTCACAGTACGTTTGACAATATATACAAGAAGAGAAATTACCTCCCAAGGATAGGTATTTACCTCCCCATTTCCATGAGGGTGAATTTCGACTTGTTTCAGAGTCATTTCATGGAGACTGTGAGCCACAGCATATACAGAATTATATACATTATAACTCTCTTCAGTCATATCCATTTCCAAAGCATTTCCAGGCAACATTTCTAAGGAAGCATTGGGTTGACAGTTACCTAATATTTTACAATTGGGTCCAGAAAAAGAGCAATTGAAATATCTGTTCCACAAAAGAGCAAGGATATAGTCTTCTGGATATTTGGAAGGCTTGTATGTCTGGATAAACTTCCTAAAATCAGAAATCTCAGCATGGTGTTGTGCAAAAATGAGACTACCATGGAATGGATCAAATATGAAATAAGGAACATCAGTAGTTACATCCCATTGTGACTTAATGATCCAGACTTTCCAAGTAATTGAATGCATTCCTATATATAATATTAGACCATATAAATATTGAGTAACATCATAAAGGAAAACAACATTTGTAGATGATTTCAGGATATTTTGATGAATTGTTCTGGATTCATAGCCCGAGTAAACCTGGCTGTCATGAATCATTTCTACAAAAGCTACACACACTCTGTTCCTGTCCATCTCTCTTCTCAAGTGTGATAGAAACTCAGTCGCATTGCGGTCATCTATGAGAATCAGTCCCACCCAGGTCCAGTTGAAATGAACCATCAAAATGACAATGCCATGTGACAGAGACATGTCCTTTTGTGCTGTCTGGTAGAGAGAAGAAAACTGGCCTCTGTCACTTAGAATAGCATCAAATGGCCCAAAAGTAATCTGAAGGAAATAGGAAACATAAGTGAAAACATTGACATAGAACACAGTTTTAAACCTGAGGTGACACTTTTATTGGTCTAGCCTACCTTCTGCTCATGGTATTTTAAACTCACATCTTGTTTCTGAAGATATTTATAGAGAATTTCTCACAAGACACAGAGTTTTCTAAACACCTAGTATAGGCTCCAGCGTCTTCTTCTTCTCTATCTCGAGAAAAGTATATGATGACAGATAACCAAATATCTGATTTGATCTCTTTGATAGATGAATGCCACAGCTTCACCTCTTTACATTGAAAACATACCAAATGTCTGCAGTTTAATATGGGTTTCTTGTTCCCTCCCAGTCATGATCCTCACCTGTGGATATCTGTAAAGATTCAGCAGTCTCCCAACTTTTACGGATGTTTCCCATTCTGTTCCTGTAAGTACAGCAGCAACCTTGTTCTTTCTTTTACATGTGTAATTGGGAATGTATATTCCCATTCCTGTGAGGCAAAAAAAAGCTTCCTGCATAATATCCTCTAGATTGCTTTTGATATTATAGAGCTCAAATCCTAGAGATGTGTTTGGTAAAATGTGAGTGTTCCTGTTGATCTCCTCAATGGCAAACATGAAGGCCAAAGAAGACTGGTAGCTCCTCAACTTGAATCTGCAGAGAAGGATTGTCAATATTCATGGCGTGGATTCATATCATATCTACAGTATGATGCTGGACTACATTGTAGATGATATGGTACTAATGGCTTTTATACCTTCAATGTTATATATCTACAAATACTAATTTTGTTATCATGGGGATTTTTTTTGAATGTCCTGGTATATAGTAAGTGATGATTTTATTATCTAAAAGACTTGGGTGTGTCTAAATTTTCCTGGCAGGAACCTTGACCTGTACTGATATTAACCTCGGAATCTCTAGTATGGGGGAACACAAATAAAACCCCCTATTTCTTTATATTTTAGTGATATAATCAGCTGATGGAGACTTCCACCCTTAAAGGATCCCCTGTTCTGCACTATAAAAACCTCAAGTCCCCCAACACCACAATCACTCTGTCTGTACATAGATGGGGAGTCTGCATCCTTTCACTTGTTTTGATGAAGGACCAACAATGCTTATGGGAATGTCTGCCTATCAATCCCAAAGCAACCTTGGATCTGAACCTGAGAAGGTTTAGGTGTCCAGCACCAAAACACATCTCTTTGAACAACCTTCCCTCTCTCCCATGACATCTCCCTCTCCTTTCTGAGAGCCATACAATGAAGAGCAGAATGACTGAGTGAACTTCTTATAGCTTAACAGTCTACAGTCATAACTTGAATCCCCTGGGCTACTTTGTAGCAATTTTTTGCTATTTCTATCATTTGCCAGCCTTTTTCTTTATCCCTTCACTATGTTCTTACCTCCCACACAAAGTGGATTACATAACAACCTTGAATGCCCCGATGATAGGCGTAATTACATTATCCTGGAGCTGAGTTCAACTTGAACAGAATATATGACCTGTTTTATTGCACATGTGACTTGAGGATCCTCATCAAGATGGAAGAAACCATTTGACCTGGAGGCTAAGTTTGCCTAATGATATCATAAAGCAAGCATACTCCATGTGACTTCTTGGGACAATCCAAAATGGTGACCACCATTATATGTCATTGTCCCATTGAGTCCAATAGGATCCATACACCCATATTATATACAACCATGGAGAAAATATTTGACCTCTGTGGTGATTATTTTTTCATTATTAATGTTTTTCCTCCATTTTGTCTTAACATTAATAGGTTATTAGTTGATATAATTACTAGCTTCTAAAAAGACCCTAATTAAAATCACAAACCTCAACAGAGACTCTAAGGAAGAATTGCCATGTGAGAGAGAAACTGTAGCCAGGAAAGTGCTTCTATTGTAGGCTCTGCTGGGTCTCAGTGCTAATTCTGACTTGTAAGTCCAAATCAGTTTTCCTCTAACTGAGGTAAAATGTCCTTTGTCCGTCATGTTTGTTATGTGAATGTCTGCTTTTGTTTCTGCCCAAACTAACAACATGTTGAATAAAGATACCTCTGTGAGGTTTTCCTTTTACAATGAAAAGATAAAAATCTAATCTCAACCAGCAATAATCATAAAATCTTGTTTTTTCTTAGAATTTGTTTTTTTTTTCATAGTACCACAAAATTCATTATTTATTTTAAACCCAGGAGGCTTTGAAGAACTTGCAGGTTTAAAGAGGGATTTTCTGTATAGTTACTCACAAAATACCTCTGATGAGTCCTTCTAAATGCAAGATGCTTTCTGAAACATCTTTCAAACCCAGACATGTCCCTGTTTCCCAAATTACCCAGGAATGATTATTTTGTTGGCTCTTTCTTGATCATGTACATTAAAGGCATGAACATAAAGCATACTCTGGAGCTTTGCATAGTAGATAATTATATTTTTAAGGAGCTTCAGTTACATCATTTTTAGCATCTGTGTAATTTAACTGAAGTGAGATTCTCAATTAGCAGGTTTTCCTTTCATCTCTGGGATGTAATATCCTCATGGACAGGAAAGTGCCTCCCTCTTTGAGTAGCTATATTTATGCCCATTTTTTAAAAAATTATAACTGCTTGACCATTAGCTCCAGTTTATTATTGACTAGCTCTTACACTTAAATTAACCCATAATTCTTATTTATATTTAGTCACCTAGCTTGGTAACTTTTCACAGTTCTGCCTTGTTATCTTGCTTCCTCTGTGTCTGGCTGGTGACTCCTGACTCTGCCTTTTCTCTTCCCAACATTCTCCTGGTCTGCTCGCCCTGCCTATACTTCCTGCCTGGGAACTGGCCAATCAGTGTTTTATTTTTAATTTTTAATTTTTTAATTTTTCTTTATTAAGAAATTTTCTACTCACTCTACATACCACCCACAGATCCCACCTATTTCCTCCTCCCATCCCCCAGCTCTCACTCCCAAGACAACCCACATCCTCCAAATCAAGGTCTCCCATGGGGAGTCAGCACAACACAGCACACTAAGACTAGGGAGGTCCAACCCCTCCCCACTGCACCAAGGCTGCACAAGGTATCACACCACAGGCACCAGGCCCCCCAAAGCCTGCCCATGCACCAGGGATGGATCCCGATCCCCTGCCAGGGTGCACCCCAAACAGTTTGAGCCAAACATCTGTCTTTCTTATCCAGAGGGCCTACTCCAGTCCCATGGGGGCTCCACAGCCACTAGTCTACAGTTCATGGGCTTCCACTAGTGTGGCCAGTCATCTCTGCATATCTTCCCATCATGATCTCGAAGTCCCCCACCTGCAGAATCCCTCCTCTCTCTCACCAACAGGATTCCTGGAGCTCAGGCTGGCACCTGGCCATGGATCTCTGAATCTGCCTCCATTAGTCACTGGACAAAGGCTCTATGATGATAGTTATGGTATTCACTAGACTGGTCACCAGAGTAGATCAGTCCAGGCACCCTCTTGACCACTGTCAGTAGTCCAAGGTGGGATCATCCCTGTGGATTCCTGAGAGCCTCTCCAGCACCCTGCCTGTTCCTATTCCCATGATGGCCTAATCTATCATGGTATCTTCCTCCCTGCCCTCCCATTCTGTCACTGTTCCAGCTGAACCCTCCCATTTCCCTATGCTCTCATCCCCCACACCTTGCCCTCTGCCACACCCCTACATCAAGTCAGCTCATGTAGATCTCATCCACTTTTCTTTGCTAGAACATCCATGTGTCCCTCCTAGGGTCTTTCCCTGTTACCTAGCCTTTCTGGAGCTGTAGGTTGCAGTCTGGCCATCCTTTTCCTCACATCTAGTGTCCACTTCTGAGTGAGTACATACTATGTTTGTCCTTCTGAGTCTGGGTTACCTCACTCAGCATGATATTTTCTAGTTCCATACATTTACCTGCAAACCTCATGATGCCATTGTTTTTCTCTGCTGAGTAGTACTCCATTGTGTATATATGCCACGTTTTCTTTATCCATTCTTCAGTTGAGGGGGCATCTAGGTTGTTTCCAGGTTCTTGCTATTATGAATAATGCTGATATGAACATAGTTGAGCATGTGTCCTTGTGGTATGACTGAGCATTTCTTGGGTATATGACCAAGAGTGGTATAGCTGGTTCTTGAGGAAGACTTATTTCAAATTGTCTGAGAAACCGCCATACTGATTTCCAGAGTGGCTGTACAAGTTTGTACACCCACCAACAGTGGAGGAGTGTTCCCCTTGCTGCACATCCTCTCCAAAATAAGCTGTCTTCAGTGTTTTGATCTTAGCCATTCTGACAAATGTAAGATGGTATCTCAGAGTTGTTTTGATTTGCATTTCCCTGATGACTAAGGATGTTAAGCAATTCCTTAAATGTCTTTCAGCCATTTGAGATTCTTCTGTTAAGAATTCTCTGTTAAGCTTTGTATCCCATTTTTCAATTGGATTGTTCAATATTTTGAAGTCTAGCTTTTTGAGTTCTTTACATATTTTGGAGATCAGCCTTATGTCAGATGTGGGGTTGGTGAAGATATTTTCCCATTCTGTAGGCTGTCGTTTTGTTTGACACAATATTGACCATGTCCTTTGCTCTACAAAATTTTCTCAGTTTCAGGAGGTCCCATTTATTAATTGTTGATCTCAGTGTCTGTGCTACTGGTGTTATATTTAGGAAGTGGTCTCCTGTGCCAATGTGTTCAAGACTACTTCCTACTTTCTCTTCTATCAAGTTCAGTGTAACTGGCTTTATGTTGAGGTCTTTGATCCACTTGGACTTGAGTTTTGTGCATGGTGACAGATATGGATCTATTTGCAATCTTCTGTATGTTGACATCCAGTTATGCTAGCACCATTTGTTGAAGATGCTTTCTTTTTTTCATGGTACAACTTTGGCTTCTTTGTCGAAAATTATATGTTCATAGGTGTGTGGATTAATATCAGGGTGTTCAATTAGATTCCATTGGTCCATATGTTGGTTTTTATGCCAGTACCAAGCCATTTTTATTACTATAACTCTATAGTAGAGCTTGAGGTCATTGATCATGATGCCTCCAGAGGTTGCTTTATTATACAGGAATCTTTTAGCTATCCTATGTTTTTTGTTTTTCTATATAAAGTTAAGTATTGTTCTTTCCAATCTTTGAAGAATTTTGTTGAGATTTTGATGGGGATTGCATTGAATCTGTAGATTGCTTTTGGTAAGATTGCAACTTTTACAATGTTGATCTACCTATCCATGAGCATGGGAGATCTTTCCATTTTCTGATATCTTCTTCTATTTCTCTCTTCAGAGACTTAAAGTTTTTATCATACAGGTCTTTCACTTGTTTAGTTAGAGTTACCCCGAGGTATTTTATATTATTTGTGGCTATTGTAAAGGGTTGTGTTTCTCTTATTTCTTTCTCAGCCTCTTTGTCATTTGTATATAGGAGGGCTATTAAGTTTTTTTAGTTAATCTTATATCCTGCCACCTTACTAAAGGAGTTTATCAGCTGTAGGAGTTCTCTGGTAGAATTTTTTGGGTCACTTATGTATACTATCATATTGTCTGCAAATAGAGAAAGTTTGACTTCTTCCTTTCCAATTTGTATCCTCTTGATCTCCTTTTGTTGTCTTATTGCTGTAGCTAGGGCTTTGAGTACTATATTGAGTAAATATGGGGAGAGTGGGCTGCCTTGTCTTGTTCCTGATTTTAGTGGAATTGCTTTGAGTTTCTCTCCATTTAATTTGATGCTGGCTGTTGGCTTGTTATAAATTGTCTTTATTATGTGTTGATATGCTCCTTGTATTCCTGATCTCTTTAGAACCTTTATCATGAAGGGATGTTGGGTATTTCAATTCTTTATATGTGTTGTGATTTGATTTGTGACCAAGCATGTGGTTGATTTTGGAGAAGGTTCCATGGGGTGTTGAGAAGAAGGTACATTCTTTTGTGTTAGGGTGGAATATCTGTAGATGTATATTAAGTCCATTTGAGTCATACTGTCTGTTAGTTCCCTTATTTCTCCATTAAGTTTCTGTCTGACAGACCTGTCCTTTGGTGAGAGTGGGGTGTTGAAGTCTCCCACTACTAATGTAAGGGGTTTGATGTACATATTAAGCTTTAGTAATGTTTCTTTTACAAATGTGGACGCCCTTATATTTGGGGCATAAAAATTCAGAATTGAGACTTCATCTTGTCAGATTTTCCCTGTGATAAATATGTAATGTCCTTCCCGATCTCTTTTGATTGATTTTAGTTTGAAGTCTATTTTATTAGATATTAGGATAGCTGCACCAGCTTGCTTCTTAAATCCATTTTATTAAAAAGTCTTTTCCCAGCCTTTTATTCTGAGGTATTGTCTCTCTTTGAAGTTTAGGTGTGTTTCTTGTATGCAGCAGAAGGATGGATCTTGTTTTTGTATCCATTCTGTTAGCCTGTGTCTTTTCATATGTGAACTGAGACCATTGATATTAATGGATATTAATGATCAGTATTTGTTAATTCCTGTTATCTTTTGGTGGTAGTGTTGTATGTTTCCCTTCTTTGGTATTTGTTGGTGTGGGACAATCATTTGCCTGTGTTTTC